CATACCTGAATATATCTGTATATCTGTATATAATTGTATATATTTTCTTGTATCATTCATTAGTGTTTTAATTAAAGCTCTGTAGTTTAGTTTTCAATCCAGCCAAGTCTCTCTCTTTTTCTCTCTCTCCTTCCCTACCGGGGGGGGGGAGGAGGGGATCGAGAGCATTGTTGTCAGACCTGAGTCAAACGGTGACAATTTTCTTTTATCATTAGTGTTTAATTAAAGCTGTCTAGTTTAGTTTTCAATCCAGAGTCTCTCTCCCTCATTCTCTCTCTCCTTCCCTACCTGGGTGGGAGGGGGAGGGAATCAAGAGCATTGTTGTCTCTGGTTTAATTGCTGATCCTGAGTCAAACCATGACAGGAAACCACATTAAAATAATGACATTTTAAAGACTTTCATGAAAATTAGCTCAGAACTCTTAAATTTAAGGCAGAAACACTTTAAAATACACACCTCTGATAAGGGACTTTTCCCACAGGTTTTAGAATTATAAAAGGTGGCCCCACTCACTTGTACAGAAGTCCACTGCTTCACAACATGAAACATCAAAAGAACAGTCAGATCAAGCAAGACAACTGCTACCAGAGTTCTGGCAATCTTCCAGGCACATACTGAGACTAATCTGCTTCTCTTAAATTTGCAGGGAGGACATTAATATGTGGCTATTTAAGAAGAATGAATAAATATTAACAGTGGAAATAAAAAAATATGACTTCAAAGGCTTAATTATTTAAACTGAAAGTAATATTATTATCCTATATTGATCTATAACTATGCATTATTATTAAAAGCCTAGAACGGTTATTTTTATTATTAAACAAAGTGAACTGGGCAAAATATCACTATCTGGAACAATGATATGAAGTGCTGATTGAGTGAATGTTCTGAAATTTTTAGTACACTTCCTGAACTGGTTTTCAATAATATTTAAGAATATAGGGGTTTCACATCTCCATAGCACTATTGTAGCAGGGCGCTCCATCTCTCAACATGCCTGCCTCAGTTCCCTTTTATGATTCAACTGCTTTTTGTCTCTCATTTTGCAGGCCCTGGCCTGCAGTGAAAGGTTCCCATGAGAAGGGAAAAGGCCTAGCAAACTCTGTGCTGGTAACAACCTTGAAAGGTATAAACAGAGGGCCAAGTGGATGTGTGTAACACCAGCTGCTCTCAGGTGTTGAAGAACACGGAGGCCCAAACAACGAGGCCTGAAACGGAGATAAAGTAACAACGAACAGATAAACAACAGTTTTCCTGGTGAGAACAAGGCCCTCATGGTTTTTTCTATTGTTTTCCTTTTATTCTTCAATGAGAGATGTTGGAGGTATGGCTAATGGTTAAACGACAGCAGTCAATCCACTTTATTCTA